TAGAGGGCGCTGGGGCGCCGCCCCACACCTAATGATGATTCAGACATAAAAAAAAAACATTTTTTATCATTAATTTTAAATTAAAAGGTAAAATATTTAAAAATATATGTATATATACACTTTAGTTGTGCAAGAAAAAATATTTAATCTTTAATGACGAGTAAAGCGTTATTCCATTTTTAGTCCGATTCGTGACGCATTTCCACTCTAGGGCGCAAAAGTCTTTGCCCATTGACTCTCGTTAAAAGTTTATTTTTTATTTATTTAAATAAAGCATTTTAATGCCATGATGATGACATTTAATACATTTTAATGGCAATTAAGGCCTTAATTTTAAAAAAATCATTGAATTAATTTTAATGATTTTTTATGACCTGCGGAAACCCTGTGATCAAATTACTAAATAAAAAGAAAGAGAATTTTAATTTCTTTCTGTATTTTCAAAATATTTCTTTTAATAAAAATAAAATGTTTAAAATATTCAAATTCTTCCATCATACTAACAGTCCTTCATTCCTACTCTCCCATAGTCCCATTCTCTCCTCAGAAATTACACCTTTAGAGAAAAGTTTCTATTTATAAAAGAGAAAAATAATAGAATTATTTAATTGTGTGATTGATTAGTTTTCATCTCTTATATCAAAAGTGGCCTTTCCTTTGAAGTAGTGAAAAAAAAACCAGTTATCAGGGTAAAACCAACAGATTTATTATCGGTTCTGGCACCAGAAACACAATGCATCTCATTTCATTTCATTCTCATTGTGTCAAACATGCTCTACAGACATACAGCCATCGATACACACATTGATCACTTAACAAATATAAACTGCAGGCATAAAGGAAAACTCACAGCAAGAGGATGCTTCCAAAAGAGCTACTGGAAAATATTTCTGTTAAAGGCTGCAAAATAAAAAACATCAGGACTTCTGCTCTTGTTTGACTCCAATGAGAAATCTGTAGATTTCAGCAGCTCATAAACCTTCCAGTAGATCAGAAAAGGAAAAGCAGAAGCAATGTTCAGGTTTAAAGCTGAGAAAAACAAAACTAAAACTAACTAAAAAAAAAAAACAACGGTTATCAGCTAACAGCCAACTGATCTTATAAAAGAGAATAAAGTACAATAAAATTAGGATAGAAAGTCGAACCAACAGTTTTCAGAGATTACAGGACATAACGGTTCAGCAGGTTCATTTTTAAAACTTTCTCATCCAAGAAAACAGGTTTGCTAATTCTTCTTGGAGCAAATTCTGTCATTTGAACCTTTTTTATCACAAAATGTTTTCGACAGTAACTTATTTAAATCATTTAACGTTTGAATGGTTATTATTGGCTGCTATAGGCACATTATGCTAATAATAGCTTGAAGATAAACTATCCGCCATGACTGTAAAGATGGGAAGAAAAAGAATCAAAATAGTCTAAAACTCACAAAAATACCAAAACTGGATGATTTGTTTACAAAGATAAAAAAAAAACTGGAAGGAGCATCTTCTAACAGATCTTTGAGCGATTGCTGTTACTGTAGCATCCTGCTAGCAGATCAGGAAGCTAACTGCTAACAACATTTCTACTTCAGTGAATCAATCCTCTGAAAATGTTTCATCTGCCGCTAACATTTCTACGTTTCATACGCCCATTAAACGCATTTCAGTTTGATACCAGGAAACAAACCATTTTAAACGACACCGTATTAGGGCCGCGCTAGAGATTTATTTTTTCTATTTCAAGAATAAAGTCGTAAATTTATGAGAATAAATTCGTAACATTTATAGAATAAAGTCATAAAATGATTAGACTAAAGTCCTAATATTAGAATAATAAAGTTGTATTTTATGATAATTCTTAGAAATTTAACTTGAGGAGTATAATTCAAAAATAAGGCGTATAACATCATGTGAAGTTCTACTTTAGCATCGGTTTGACCAATCAGGAAATCTTTTAGCAGCAGCATCAAACTGGACAGGATGTCAAAGTGGACTCTGGTTGCTGATTGGTGGAGCTGGTCGGCCGTCATCTGGTGGGCGGAGCCCCAAGCTTTCTTTCTGAAACTTGTTGTTGAATGAGAATTTTTCTTGTAATATTACAACTTTATTCTTAAAATAAAAAATCTCTAGCCTGGTCCTAATACTACGTCATAATTTTGGACTATTTACTTAAACCTTGAGATATTAATTTAATTTTTGTAAAGTATTTTGATTGATTCAGGAGACAAACTGTCCTCATAATCTGTGACCAACAAATAACTTGCAGTCGACAACTTGTGCTTGAAAAAGCTACAAAACAGCATAAAGACAAAACTAACAGCCTAATCGTTAATTTATTATTACATTACCAGTTAGTGAATATCCACAATTATATTATATTCATATTTTTACCCAATAGAAAATATAAACAGTGTAGTTTTAATTCATTTAATCTATTTTATGATTGCGCAAAAAAGAGCTGGCTAAGCTAGCTTGGTTTAATAATTTAGTACTATGGATAGAATAGGTTAGTGAGGCAGCTGAAAAAGACTATAAAAAATATAATATAGCTTAAAAAAATAAAAAAGATAGAAAAAAAAGATCAAAACCATAAGCTGCAGTTCTTACATTAGCATCCTGTTACCATCCATTAAAGCTACCTTTGTAGCACTCAAGCTAGATTAGCTAAAGTAAATAAATTATATTAGGTGACCTTAAATTATTTGTAATTGTTTTATAATTATCAAAGTGAACAACTGATCAAACTCTGGTTATTCTAATAAAATCTATGTTACTTGTGGAGTCATGTGCTAAGAAAATACTAGCTGTCTATGCTAGGTTTATCTTTAGCATGCTAGTGCCCTCTGTGGAATGCAAACATTAGTGAGCAAATGAACAAAACAAAAATGGACATAAATTTAAAATTGTAAAGTTTCTGTTTCAAAAGGAAAATAAAAGGCAGAAAACATTAAGCATCTTTCAAGCTACTGTTGTTACATTAGCATCCTGCTGCTAGTTTCTAAAGCTAACTGCTTAGCGACAATGTAACATTAGCTAATCAGTCTTTTTATTTAATCTGCTGATTAAAATAATAAGTTATGCTAACTGAGCTTGTTTAATTCTCTAAATCGATTTGTGGGAGGTGTTCACAATAACACATTATTACAACATACTAATAAAACAAGTCAGGTTAAATGGAAACGTTTCTCAAAAGTGTGCGCTCCCTGGGAGGTTTTTGTCTTGTAAAAAAGTTAGACCATAAAATATCTTACTTTGAAACAGTGACACTATGGAGAAGGGTAGAAAAAACAAAAGAGATATCAGTAAATTAAGAGAAGTTAGGGCGACGGAAACATTAGAGAAACCGTGTTTCTATAAAACAAAGATAGAGGCGCCTGCCAAGAAGGGGACAGCAACACATTTACTTTGAACAGGTTTTGGTTGTCCTTCACATGGAACACAAATCTTCTTAATATCATTTTCTAGCCAAACAACTTTTACTAAACTCTTACAAGACGTGTTGGAGAATGTCTGATGGTGTAATGAAAGCAAACCTTAACTTTGGTGCTGCGGTTAGTAAAGATCGGGTTTAGAAAAAAAAACAACACTTTAGGGTCCAAAGTTCCTAAATTACCATAAAACTATGTGTGATTTATAAACCAGTTTAAAGCACAGACTTAGTTTTAGAACATGGTATTATACTGAGGGTAGCTTCTGTTTTCAGTCTGATGGATTATGTGGAGACATTTGTAGAGTCATCTATATCTGAGCCTCAGGTTCTCCAGAAGAACACGGTCATGGCAGCATCATGATCTCAGAAAACTGAGCCAGTCAAGCTGCCTCTGATTCAAACATTTGTGATCGGGGGATGATTTTTGATTTTTCTTTCAGTTTGAACTTGTTTTTTTCTAAAAATGCAGGAATCCTTGAATAATTAACCACCTGTCCCTCCCCAGGTGTCTGCTAGAAAGCTGCAGTGGGATCTTATTATTCAGCTTCACAGGGATTCCCTGCATAGATCTAAATCACCAAGATAAAGGCCGTTTCTCACTATGTGTGCTTGTGCGTCTTCGTGTCCTCGTGAAACGTCATCATCCTCAGCCCTAGCACTGTTCCAGTTCACTAGAACAGCAGACCGAGAATGGACAAAGTCCCCGGATGTTGTTCTGGCCACTCTCTCTTTACCCAGCATGCATCAGAGCAGACTTGTCCAGACTGACAGCTGTCCCAGCATGCACTGGGGCAGCAGCAGCTTCCAGGTTAGCGCTCACAGAGCTCAGAGGATTAAGTTAAAAGTTATCTGATGTTGAGAGGAGCGCGTCAACCAGCAGAGCTCTGAGGCTAACCACAGCCAGGGCTAACGTTAGCCGGTTTGCTGTGGCCAGGGCTAACGTTAGCCCGTCTGCAGCGGCCAGGGCTAACGTGAGCCCGTCTGCAGCGGCCAGGGCTAACGTTAGCCGGTCTGCAGCGGCCAGGGCTAAGGTTAGCCAGTCTGCAGCGGCCAGGGCTAACGTGAGCCCGTCTGCAGCGGCCAGGGCTAACGTGAGCCCGTCTGCAGCAGCCAGGGCTAACGTTAGCCGGTCTGCAGCGGCCAGGGCTAACTTTAGTCCGTCTGCATAGCCGTGTGTAAAGGACCGCTGGAGGTTTGATTGTTTTATTTGGCAAAATGTTCATCTGATTTGTGTTTATCTGACTGTGTTCATTATTATTCCTCCAATAAATGAAAAAGTCATAACTTATTATTATCTAGAGACTATTAGTAACAGGAGGTGAAATGCAGCTCCAGACTAGCTTTGAATGTGATGATGTCATCAGTACGCTGCTGTTCCAATTGACCCAGATTTAAGGCCAATTTATGCTTCTGATGCATAGGCTCTGCAACGTCAAATCTGTCTCTGTGCGCGACCACGTCCCCGCGCAATGGTTCTGCAACCGTCGTTGCGCACCTAAAAAAAAAATCCTGACTATCCGTCACGGTCACAAACCGACAAGACCTCAAGCGGAAGTGCGCAGACAAAAAGCGGCTGTGATTGGTGTAGGTATGCCTTTCCGGCTGTCTGTGTGACTATCCGCCGAAGTTCTCCCGAGTTCTCGGATAGGTTCCCCGTCGCGCTTTGGTCGGCAACTGCTGTGCGTCCCTAGTAATTCCAGACCGATGGTGCAGAAGCATACCAGCTAAACTGGTTCGCGACCAGAACCAAGAAACATTTTATGTGTGTGGTTGCAGAAGTATAAAAGTATCATCTGCCCTTTATTCTGCGTGCTCCCGCTCTCTGGTCAAGAACAGACTTGGAGAGAACACGAGTCCGAACTCTCGTTCTGGTGAATCGAGAAACGGCCAAAGACTTTATTGGCATATTTGAATATTTTCAAACTGTTAGGGAAGAATTTAGAACAAATTCTAGATACCAGATCAATGATGTTTCAGTAATAAGAGATTCTGAGGTAGAGATAATGTTGAAATTAGACTAATATGTCCCTCAGCAAGGAGCACCCAACTTTTTAACTCCTTTCAGAAATACTTGTCTGATTTTAAGCCTAATTGTACAGGGTCAATTAAAAAAACTGTTTATTTGAAAAAAAGTCATCATTGGTTTACGCAATTCTTATAGCCTATGAGCCGCTGACTGTTTAACATTATAACCAAACAAAAAGAGCTAGCTAAACTAGACTAGCTCGACTGATGAACGACATTAATGACCTGGAAAAAAACGTATAAAGAGAAATAAAAAGGAACTTAAAGAGTCATTAACCTGAATATTAAGCTGTAGTAACATTATGCTAGTGTGGTCGGAAAATTTAGTTTCTCTTATTTCATATATTAATTTATGGTATTTACTCACTATAAAAGTTTTCAGCCTGTTTCACCTGCAAGGCCACATAATTCCCCTGGGTGAGATTTTTTTTAAACAAGACACAGATTCCTCCCATAGCAAACCAGATTATTTCTCAGGTTTATTTATAACATGTTAGTTTAACCAAAGTGTTTGTAATTAGTTTTGACTCTGACTTCTTTCCATTATCGTAACTAAGGAGGAACGAACGCTGCGAGTAAGCTAACTGCTAAGCTAATCAGCAGCAGTGTAAAAGTTAACTGACCTTTTATCATTTTGGAGAATAATTTACTCTGCTTTGTTTTCTAAAAACTGTGAGAAGAACGTCAGTTCTGATAACCTATGTTTTTATTCTTATTTATGCTAAAATGTTAATAGTGAGAACTTTGTGATTAGCTTAAACCAATCAGGGCAGCCTGATTGGTTTAAGCTAAAATGCATGATATAAAATTACCCATAAATTAATGAAACAAGCTTGGATTTAACAAATAAATTAAAAGAAATGGGTCACAGAAGAGACGTCATAAACAGTTTTCTGATCACAGGCCCCTCCATGTCTATGTCCCAACAAAGCCAATTAATACAAAACACTTTTGGCACATGTTCAGTAAACGTCTAAATCAAAGCTTCTCTGGTAGCCAGAATGCGCGGTCGATTCAGGTCCAACACATAACAAAAAGAAACAGAATTAAAACGCATTGGTCCCACTAATCCTCAGTGTGGTCCAGGAGAAAAGCTTTATTCACCCAGCCTGGCATTAAACTCAGTTTAGCACTAATTTGGCACGAAACTCAACATTTTCCCTGCTGTGAAGTAATTAGCAGATGAACATGTAAAAAGTTGGATTTGAAACTCAAACGGGTTTTTTAGGTTTATCAAATGATGAGAGGGAGAAACTGGGAGCGTGCTGAGTTTAATTCCCAGGCTGAAGGCTTTCAGCGAGGCACATTATGTGTCTGACAGCCATGACAGGGTCCCATTCGCAAGGCTGCATTACCTTGAATGTCCACTAGAGGGAGCTGAAGCTGTTTTCATTGTCAGAGTTGCAGACAGGAAATGGGAGAGAGATGGAAAGAGCCAAAAGAGAAGCTGGCTCGTGTTGGTTTTTAGGAGAACATGCTATCAGGACAGACAGAGAGAAAAGGAAGAGATGGACGGGGGGGGGGGCAGAGAAGCAGCTCCGGTTTAACATGCACATCTCTTCTTGTCGGGCTGTCCCTCCCCGAGCTTGGCGGCTCCATTCCCATTGGCTGGATCCGCGGGCGGTTTGTCAACACACTGCTCCATCCTCTTCATCACCAGATCCAGCAGAGTTATCACCGCCTTGTCCACCTCTGCTCCGGTGGCTGCACTGGTCTCAAAGTACGGGATCCTGGGAAGAACAAATTCACTTCTTAATTATTTATCAGCTGATTAAAATCTTACTGTTTTGTTTCACCTGCACTTTGATTTTTTTATGTATTTATTAAACAATCCTCTCTTGTTGCTAGATTTTTTTACTCCTAATCTTCAGAAGGTTTGCAAGTGTTTTTTTTAAGGTTTGCGAGTTTTAAAATTCGCAAAGTTGTTTGTACGGACAGAGCAGAACATGAAAGCATACAATTCATCAGGAGGTGCGAGCAGACGTTTTTTATTGCTTGTGTGTCTTCAATAAATCTGCAGATCATATTCTAATAACACAACCTCACACATTTATAGGCGAAGGATATGAAAATGCAAATATTTATCGTGCGCAAAGTGAATTTCTAAGCCTGTAAGTCAGACCAGAGATTTTAGGTCTTTTTTAGCGCGTTAGAAAATGAGGTTCAAACTTGCACAGGAAAATGTTTGCTGCAAAGCCCAAAGGAAGCATTGGTACAATGACTGCATCCTGTGAGCATGTGAATTTATTTAATCAATAGAAGATTAATAATAGCTCAGAAAAAATACGGCAGGAAGGCAGATACTCTTTATACAACTAAAGCACAGGAAAAAAATAACCAAACCTGCCTAGACTTAGACAACTTTTATTGTCATTATGTATGCACAGAGTGTAGGGGCGGCTATGTGGTGGCCATGTGGGCCATGTGGTGAATACGTGGCGGTTACTTGGTGCCCATGTGGCGGCAGTCATGTGTCAGCTATGTGGTGGCCATGTGGGCCATGTGGTGAATACGTGGCGGTTACTTGGTGCCCATGTGGCGGCAGTCATGTGTCAGCTATGTGGCGGCCATGTGGCGGCTACGTGAAGGCCACGTGGTGAATACGTGGCGTTTACTTGGTGCCCATGTGGTGGCCATGCGGCAGCTACATGGCGGCTACTTGGTGCCTATGTGGCTACTACATGGCAGCCATGTGGCAGTCGTGCGGCAGCCATGCGGTGGCCATGTGGTGGCTACAAGGTAGCCATGTGGCGGTTACTTGGCAGCCACATGGCGACTATGTGCCATGGCAGCCATGTGGCGACCATGCATCGGCTATGTGATGGCCATGTGGTGAATACATGGCGGTTACTTGGTGCCCAAGTGGTGGCCATGCGGCGGCTATGTGGCGGCTATTGGTGCCCATGTAGCGGCTACGAGACACCCATGTGGCGGCTATGTGGTGGACATGCGGTGGCTATGTGGCGTCCATGCGGTGTCTACGTGGCAGTCACACAGTGGCTATGTGGTGGCTACGTGACAGCTATGTGGCGGCCAGGCGGCGGCTATTTGGCGGCCATGTGGCAGCTTACGTGGCAACCATGCGGTGGCTATGTGGTGGCTACGTGACAGCTATTTGGTGGCTACGTGACGGCCATGTTTCAGCCATGCGGTGTCTACGTGGCAGTCATACAGTGGCCATGCGGTGGCTACGTGACAGCTATTTGGTGGCTACGTGACAGCTATGTCGCGGCCATGCGGCGGCTATGTGGCGGCCATGCGGTGGCTACGTGGTGGCTACGTGACAGCTATTTGGTGGCTACGTTGCAGCTATGTGGCGGCCATGCGTCAGTAATGTGGCAGCTATGTGGTGTCCGATCCAGGAAGTGTTTCGATGACATATGCAGCCCAAAGTCCAGCTAAAGTGGCCACAGGTGAAGCTGGAGGTTCTGAGTAAACTCATGGATGAACTGAACTTACCCATATTTGTCGGCCAGCTCCTTGGCCTGCTTCTCCTGAACCTCCCTCTGATCCGCCAGGTCGGCCTTATTCCCCACCAGGACGATATCCGGGTTCTCACAGTAGGCGTTGGCCTGAAGTTGGCCTGGAAGTCAGTCAGCAACGGCAGACAGGCAGTGAGTTAAAATGCTTTAGAAAAATCTCCATAAAAGCCAAAACCTTGACAGGAAATGGATCCTTTTAAAACCACGACACTCAGCAGACGTACTCATCCAGTTCCGGACATTTAGAAAGCTCTGCTGGCTGGTGAGGTCAAACATCAGGAGGAAACCCATGGCGTCCCTGAAGAACGCTGTGGTCAGGCTGCGAAACCTGCGATGGGAAAAACAAACGGCTTAATGCTGATGGTCTAATAAAACTCTCCCACATGCTGACAAACTGCAGCTTATTAGGAAAAGTGATCCGATTCCAACGTTTTACTGACGATCAGCTAAATCAGAACATTCAGGATCTGGGCTTACTTCATCAACAGTCATGGAAACTTTCCTCACTTATTCTTCCTACTGCAGCGTTTCTATTAGGCTGAGCTCTGGACTTTGACTAGGCCGCTGTTTTGGATAAGCTGCTGTTTGCGTCATAGACGGGGGATCCGGAGTCACCAATTCATCTCCATCTGTTTGTGTTCTGTCCAGCCACCGAACCAGGTGAGTCCAATCTGGTTTATCCTGTGTAGATTGGACTCATCTGGTTCCCCATCTCTGGTTTGTGTCTCCTGAAGACCCAGTTTGAAGGACAGATTGGACATTAGAAGACTTTGGAACGTCCATCCATCCCGGCTGGGAGGGTGAGGGGTGCTGGTGCCTATCTCCAGCTGTCTACAGGTGAGAGGAGGGTCCACCCTGGACAGGTCTCCAGTCCATCGCAGGGAAACACAGACACAAACAGGACAACCAACCATTCACTCACACCTAAAGAGGATTTAGAGAAGCCAATTAACCTGACAGTCATGTTTTTGGACGATGGGAGGAAGCTGGAGTACCTGGAGAGAATCCAAAACACTGGGAAAAAGATCTAGAAGTAAGTAAAAATTCTTAAATTATGTGTATTAACCCTTGATTTCAGTAGGTAAATGAGAGTTTGCCAATGGAATAAGATTTTTTACTCTTAAAATGAGACAACCTGCTTGTTGCACGGTGCTGGCTGCACCATTATTTCTAAACCCTCCTATTTGTTGTCGGCTCAAGGCACACCTTGATTACGCCCCTTTAACACATACACTTACCTGATTGGTCCACTGTTCAATAATAACTACAGTTTGAAAAAGGTCAGTTTCATTCAGCCAGAAACAAAATCCATCCGAGGCGGTTTAGTTCCTCATGCTGTCGGTCTTTCCTCTGTTCTCCTGCATGGATGCTTCTGCCGCCGATCGTTAAGGAAAAGGAGAAAACCCAACAAACAAACTTCATTCTGTGCCGACGTGTCACCACGGAGATCCCAGAAGCCGGTGACATCACAGATCAAACATTCTCTGTAAGTTCTACAATTACTGAAAACATAAAATTTAAAAAGTTAAATTAATAATTTACAAAAAATGTAATTTAAATATATTTATCTAGTCAGGCCAACAGAATAAATCCTGTTCCTGTTCCTCTCTCTGTGTAAGATTTCCCTCATCTGACCTGTTAGTCCATCCTATGTTTGTTTGTGGTGTTTTTATGCAATTGTTGGACTTAAATTTTGTACAGACTCTTATGTTTTTTGTTCTTTTGTTTATTCTTGCTGTGGGACAATTTATGTTGGAGCCTTTCTTCCTTGGAGGAGAAAAATATTTTGTGGGGATGAGTTTTGTGTTTATTTTTTGATGGCTATTTATATATTTTCTTTCTCAAATACAGGAAATGTGAAGCCTAATTTTTTTTATTTTGTTGTTGATCTATTTGAGAGAAAAAGTTTGTTCATTATTTCTAAGCACAGAAGTTTATGGTCCTTGTGTGACTGGTTTAAAAATATATATATTTATCCTACTTGTCAGGAGGGATATCTGACTGGCAGCCCTGAAATAGTGAAAAACACACACTATAACAATTAATCTTGTAAAACGGTCACAGCACTTGAAATAAGGCAATGCAATTGTGTTTTCTTATTTTAGATCTAGGTTGTCTTGTTCCA